TTGTCAATGTCCTCAGCTGGCTGGCAGGAAACTGTCAGAATGCAAAGTCTTTTTCACAGTACTGTGAAGCTGTGAGTGGGAGAGATTTGACCACTGAGTCATGGGGATTTGTACCATCCAAACCGTTTCAAATTGCCTCTCTGGATCGTTTAGAGTTCAGCCATTTAAGCCCAACCATGAGCACCTGAAAGAGACCACCTACTGTTAAATACCCTCGAGCCTTAGTAAAAGACTTTACCGTCTTATATCTGTCTAAGGAGACGTTAATCAGGTTAAGCCTCGCCAGTTTAGTCACCTATATATCCGTTAATATTGATTTTTTAAAAATGAAGACGTCTTTGTCACTAAACGTGTCAGTGCTCTGCTAAACCTGCAAACATCCGTGAGCAAACATCAGTTCACTGGAACCGACTCGACCCATCAGTTGATATCACCTCTAGCTAGTGCTCAACTTTAACATTCACGCTACTGCGCATCTTAAAATGAGTTATGCTTAACTGTCCTTAATGAATGCATGATGGGGAAAAGGTGACATTTAAGGGGCTTTACCTGTAGGACTACCCCCATGAATCCAGATATACAGTAAGAGATCACATGACTAAGAAAGATCCCAAAAATATCAGCAAATGTTACAGAGAAGGCCATAAATCAATTCACACTTTCTATATTTAAGAGGGGCTGTTTACTTAACCAACTCACAAGCAGCACAGAAGCATAATTTACAGGTTGCGCGGCTCCTGTCTGAGGAAGATCACGAGGTAATTGTGTGTCAATAGCAAGACGGAACAATAATCACAACCGCAGGGCTGTTGTTTGTTGTTGAGCAGAGGGGAGGCATGAGTATGTGGGCCTTGGACTTTATAACCTCATAGATAAAGTCTGTGTTTACTTTCTGCACTGAACGGCAGCTTTCTCCAGGAGCCATCACTGAGGTCTTGAACGTGAACTGGTCTTTCTTTCATTTCTCCTATTCACTGGCTTTTTGTTGTTACTGAAAAAGGGACAGCAGATGGTGACCTTGGATGCACAGGCTAAAAAGAATTAGGAATAATATTCACAGTTTCAGAGCCTGAGCGTTAGCTTACACACCTGGCGGCGCCTGTCACAGACACAGCTTTTGTTCCCGTCCCTATTGGGATGTGCCACACCAGTACAGTCGATGAAAGGTCATATTTGATCATTCTGTCTCGGCCTATTAAGGCCAAACAAAGGCCCGGGCAGGTGTTTCGATTTAATACGAGCCAGATCGAGCAATAATGCGTGTCTGTCGCTGACAGCTAGCTGGGGGACAACTAAACAAGGGTGAAAACCAGGCATATTTGTAACATCCACTTAATTGAACACAAACAAGCAAAAGCAGCAAAGGTAAATGGAGTGAAAGCCGCTGAAATGGCAGGCCATCTATTTTGTTGTTTCAGAATGTGCTCTACTGACCTGCCAAGGTAAAATTTCATCAATAAAGCAAATACAACACACGTTCAGCCTTAGTTTTTTTCCATCCGGCCTTATTGAACCATTCTCCAATTTGCCTGGTAACCATGAAGGAGAGAAAACATACTTTAACCGCAGCTGCAGCAATTCTTCACTGGACTTCCTGACTTTCTTCAAGTCGAACAGTGTTCTCTGCCACTGTACGTAATCATTTCAATTCAAGCCTTCAGACTGTTAAATGAGTTTCTTTTTCATGCCAGAAAACAAAACAAAACAAAGCTCCCATATTCCCCATTTAGCTTTCTTACTTTAACTAGAACAAAGTGCATTAATAACACTCAGCATTTCCCTCACTGTCACACACTAGTCATAAAAAGACAAAAAGAAGGAACACAAATAAAGACAATATCAGTTAATATGTCCTAAAGAGTGACCAAAAAAGAGAGTTTATTCCGCAGACTGCTTGGGTGATTTGCTTCATGCCAAAGGTTAGCGTTAGCTATTAGCTACTGACGGCTAAATAGGCTGCTATTTAGTTTGTTTAACCATCTGTGTTATCAGGCTCCACCTAGCTGAGCTCACAGTCTTATCAAAATGAAGACTGAGCAGATAAAACTATTGAAAATTAAAAAGTAAAATAACTTACATTCAGAAATTAATCATTTCAGCAGCTGAATGTTTTTGTTTTGTTGGCAGCTTTTTGTTTTTTCCGAGCCGAGCAGGAGCAACAAACACAAAAAAGCACTTTTATTTCTTTTCAAACTCGAGTTTAATCACTTCTGTCATTTCTGCAATATGTTAAGGTTTGCCAGATCATTTTATCAAGTGCTTTTTAGTGGTTTTACTTTTTTACTTTATAACCTCTTGCACAATATATTTGACTATAACTAATTTAGGGATTTTCTGGTTTCCTAATTTTGCCTTAAAGATGACAAATATAGTAGGTTCATAAGCACCTGGCACTATTATTTATAAAGCTATTACAGGTGTCTCGGTCTCCCTGAATAGCATTAGTCCCATGGAAGTCTTTGCATGATTACTGCTACAGCTGAATCAATGGTTTAATCAAGGTAAATCAGATAATAAGTATGCATGTAAACACATCTGCTGCTCACAAAGCAGCCAAATTAAACCTGTGAGTGCAAGTGTAACCTGAACAAACACAAAAACAGCACATTCTACTGTTCCTCTTTCACAAAGGGTTTTGTTTTCTTTTTTTAATCTGGTTAATGGCTCTGATTTTTCACCTTTAAAATTTTAAAACAACACCACCACTCACAGGTGGCCTCTTGGCTTGATGAGGGTCAGGGCCTTAGGGGTTCTCCACGGTGCCATCTCATTAGATTTCATTCATGTAATAGCCAGTTGCCATTCAATGATTAGGGGTAATGGTCTGAGCTTGAACTCTGAATGAAGATCATAGACTCTCGTCTGCTCGCTGCCACCGAGCGGCTCAAAGCAGCTCACTGGTGGCCAGATATAGGGCTCGCCTTCAGAGATTTCAGTTCCTTTCTCCCTGTCAGTTTGTACTCGGGGCAGTGATTTGCAATGACGGATGGGGCGATGCCTGAAAGCGCAGAGCATCACAATCAACTCATCAAGACTTTAGTATTGGAGTGCTGGCTGTCAGCTCCTGCAGATAAATGGCAGCTCTGGTTTCTAAATCTGACAGCCAAAACCGAGAATCGGATGTCTTTGTCCACAAAAGGCTTCCTAAAATGTGTCCCTTTTATCCCCTCAGCGAGCTGACTGTACATCGTTCAGATTACACATTACGAACTGAAGTAGGAGTATTTTGTCTATGAATAACAATCCAATTGCAGCCTAAATAATTCATTACCAGAAAGGCTTCTAACCACCTCGAGAAATTACGAGCAGGAGTAAAAACATTGTGTCCCAGGTAATAATGTAATCATTTGTGTAAAGCACTGCAGTTATTGAAAATAATATTTTATGTCACTGTACACACACACACTTGATGGAGAAGGCCAAATTGTTCTTGTCATCATCGGGGCTGAGAGAAAATTAAAGTCTGGCTCCCAGAGAACGTGCAGACATGACGTGACTGGCAGGTTGAAGTGGATACTTCACACACGGACAATTTATGACAGAAATAACCTGCCAGACGTTTCAATCATCTCGATTTCCTTCATGTTTTTCTTTTTTTTTTTATACTGCGGGGGCTCGCAGAGCATCTGTTGACAATAACAGCTACCCAAGTGTAATGACTATCAGAAGATAGCTGTCGTGACTTTGCGTGTCGACGTGAACAGACAAGGCAATAACTCGTCACTTGTCATGTCTTTAAAATGTCGGTGGGGAGGACAAGAGAGCGGAGAAAGGTGGGGAACGCTGCCGAAGGATAAACTATTTTCTATACTCATGTCCACGTCCAGGTGGTGGCAGGTGAGTTGTTCAATTGGAGAACAGGTTGACATCACGACAAGCACGCTGTCAAACACTGCTTGGGTAAACATGTCAGATTTGGAATGGTGGCGGTCTGTATGTAATTTTACTCGAGTGTTCACTGCAGTGGAACTTTGTAACCCTCCAGGTACATACCAACTACACAGTCATCTACATGACAAACTGCAGCCTCGTTAAAATCAGGCTCAAGGATTTAAAAGAAGCCTTTGTCACCTTGTCTAACAGCACTCGTATCCTTCTTAACCGATTCATAATCCAATGGGTTGGTACGACTATTTTCTTTTTATTTCCTAATCAGACAATTTGACATTTACGCCCACTTTCCACAGCAGTTGCCAGATGTGCGGAGGCGTGACAGTAGGCAGCGTTCTGAACTAGGTCTTATTTCCCTTTTTCCTTTTTAAAAAATTCCTGATATGACTACCTCCATCTAATTTCAAATCGCAGAAGAGTTAAAATGTGCACTTGTGCATTTTGCCACATCTCTGTGACAGGAGGCTGTTCACTCAATCTAAAAAAATCTGCTATCAAATATAGTATAGAAGACACCCACACGTTAGCAGCTAGCACATTCAAAGAATTAAAAATGAGATCTTTACAAGCTGGCTATAGCTGGTATACACAGTAGAGGACACACGTACACATTATTGGGCCAAAGAAGAAGACAATACACCTTTCAATTTCAAACCATAATGCCTTGGTAAAATGAGCACTCTCCTGCAAATGGACTCTGTCCTAGAACAAATGCCATCTCTTCTAGCTGCATAGAAACCTGGCTGTGACTGAACTGAACGCTCTGCTGTCAGGACAAAACTGCCCGCAAGAAAAACTTTCCAGATACGAAAGCAGTGAAGGCAGAACAAAATGAAAGGAGCAGAACTATCTCCCAAATCACCTCAGGGGTTAAGATGCAAAAAATAAAAAAATTGAGCTTTGACAGCGAAGATGAAGTCCGGTCAGGAGCTGTAGCCAGTGGCAACAGAGAGACAAAGAAATGGAAGACAGAAAAGGCGGCTCAACCTGTCTTTGAAACTTTATGCATGTGATAGTGCGCAGCTTAAATCTACACATAAGCCGGAGCGGGGCGCAACATGATATGCGGGGCATTTTCTAATGTCGGGGCAAATTAATTAACCAAATATCTCAGCGCTTTGTTATGCTCCCTGCTCTTATCGAGAGGCTAATTATCACTATCAGCTTCCTCTGTACGTCAGTGGGATTATTAGGCTAATCACAAAGCTTTTCCCTTTGGAGACAAGGTTTTCACTCTTCGACAGAACAAAGCTGTTATTGTCCTCCAATGACACGGTGACAGCGATGGAGCGAATCAGCATTTGTACTTGAAATGTTAGAGTAAAGCCATCGTTAACAGGCTCAGAGTTTGTGCTAGGTAGGTGGGTCTCGCAGGTGCTTCACCTGCACTGGTTTAGTTATGTTGAACCAGTGCTTGAGCTGACTGTCAGTTTAAAAAAAGCAAAAACACACCCTCAAAAGCTGTTGTGCATTGGTAGTCTGGAGCTATTTTGTTGCTGCAATTTTCCCACAACCTGTCTCACACCACTACATTCCTCGGGATGATTTTAGAAAATAAACTAATCCCTGAGAAAGTGTGAACATGTTACATTTAGCATGTACACTTATATACCACAACATTAAAACCACCTAATACTGGGTAGTGCTTCCAATTGCTTTCAAGAGTGCATGCAGAAACATGCACGTTTGCATGCGCTGGGAAGTTAGCAGTGGATCGTTTGGGGCTGGTGGGTTGTTCAGGATTGTTGCGGTCCATCTTGCTAATGCGGGTTTTGATCCGAGTTTGAAGACCAAATCAGAGCCTTAGATTTTTGAGAAGAGGGTTCTTGGTCTGAAACAATGCTAAGGCAGGTGATACGTGTCAAAAAAAATCCACACATTTTACAGCAGAAAATAGCAATTTAAAAATATTGTCAGTCTTATTCACTTTCCCTCTCTGAGGCTTTAATGTTGTGGCTGATAGGTGTAGAATGTAATGTAATGATAATGAACCATGAGAAAGTTATTGCTGTAGTGCATTCTGGTGTGCTGAGGCTAAAAACATGATGTTACCACATCTGTACAGTGAGGTTCTCCCTGTATTCCTGTTATTTATTTATTTTTTGTTTTTGTTTTTTTACCAAAACAAAAACCATTAAATTGGAGGGACGCTGCTGTTCTCACAACGCTAAAAACATCTGCTGAGCCAGGGAATATTGGACATTGCCGATCAAGAAACTTTAGCAGACATTCTGGAGAGTTAGATGAGAACATCAGTAGCACTTTCATTTCAGTGTGGAATCCATGAAGCCAGGTAAACTAAGCAAAAACAAAATTGCTCCTGTCAAAGGTAACAAGTCCATCTAGAACTTCAAGTGTCAATCAGCATTAAATTCGACTGGAAAAGCACCAAGTTGTGATTTTTATAGGTGCTTTCGTGGGTAACATTTTCTTGGTTATGAGCACTGACTTCTTAAGTCATCAGCTGGTAGGTTAGCAACCACTGAGTGACCAGAAGTCACTGCAGAGGGATAAAACAGAAAATGCTTTTTGTGTGGCCTTCACAGATCTCTGGAATGTTTTCCTTGGACTAACTTTTCCATATTGTTCCATGTTAAGCAATCTGCTTTGCGAATGAATGATAATAAGAATGGTTTCAATCTTCACATGTAACTCTCTAGGGAGGGGGGAAAATGAAGCATCTGGCTCATATTTACTCAGACATTAAAATTTGGTACATGAAGAAACTCAGAATCATGGGTTGTGAGACTGATAACGCCTACAAATTAAGCAGACTTTTTTTGTAAAGTACTTTAAAACACTTTTAAAGTACTTTGTTGAACCTCTTATAGGTGGCGGTGATTAGACAGTATTTCTAACAAAATCTGAGAACCATATGTTCAAATACTCTGTGTGATTGTGTCAGTTTGCTCTGTGTTGTTCTGTTCTGGCACTTTGAGGAGGTAAAAACAATGCATTTGCAAACAGCCTTCGTCCCAGGACTTACACAGTCACAGTGGCATTCTTTGGCATATGACGGGAATGCGGAGGGCACCCCTGTCTTGTTTCCTGTGCTGTGTCGCCTGCCAGCCTGAATGAATCTGCCAATTCCTGGCATTTCCCACAGAATGTGACTGGAATGTTATCTGCTTCCAAGTGGAATGCCTGGGTCACGGTTTCATCTCGGATTTCTTGAGCGACCTAGTATCCACTCAGAGTGCTTTCTCCCATAATGCAACACGCAGACGCAGTTTAAAAAAAAACCAGTAAGCTTTCCTTGAACAATGAGTCTAGACATACATGCAGACGATATTTTTCTTACACTGCAATGCTAAGCTGATTTGCAAATTTAAGCCAGATTCGTAGCATCTTCCCTACGCACCAGATTAACCATTCAAAGAGCCTTGAAAAGATATATATTAAAAACACTTCACGAAATAAGGCACTCCAATTTTCCATTGTCCTGAAGGCGTTCAGTCTGCAGAGAGGTAGAGGCAGATGAAGCTGTGCAAGTCGCCTTATCCACCTCTGCATTGTCACAATGCTTCAAAGGTAAGGGGAGATGAAAGCAGTTGATATGAGCAGTCTGATAGAATCTGAAGATGGGGCTAGTGATCTGTATCCTGCTCCTTCAAAGGGATAGAGAAACAGAGGAAAAAAGAGAGAGAATGAAATGGGCACCAGCTATTGGTTCACAGGCAGCTATCCCACAATTCATTGTACCACCTTTCACTGGCTTTCTGGTTTCCAAAGCAGCAGGCTGGTGTATAAATAAGACCTGTGATGATTGGCGCTCCCAAAGGGGAAAACCTCCCTTGGTAGGTTGAGTCATGAGTGTGCATGTTTTTTTTTTTTTTTATATATATAACATCCGAATCCTTGTTCCGAAGTAGGACATAGTAGTGGAAACGGTCCTGGACTGTGCTCCTGCAATCAAATCCAGGCTCATATCATTGAGAATAAACCTCTTGTCGGGGCAAGGCCGGATTCAGAACCTGTCGTCTTTGAGTTGCGTCGGGGACTTGAATGGCTTGAGCCCCAGTATCCTGCGGGGGTGAGCCCTCTCTTTGGTGCCATCCAGAGGCTTGTTGCAGGCCCCGCAGCCAAAGTCAATAAGGGCCGAGTCAGCTGAGTTAATGGGTGCTATACGGAACGAGGGCAGCGTGGGAGAGCCGTTGGCAGAACATGGGGCAGAACGCGATGTGGGAAAGGGAGCTGAGAAGGGGTCAAAGGGTGAGGCACCATCTGAACCACTTGACGGATCAGCCTTGAGGGCAAAGGGGTCGCAGTCAGGAGAGGGGAAAGGGTCACAGTTGGTGAAGGGGTTGGTGGGTGACGGCTGATAGCTCAGTAAGTTGCTTTCTGAGCGGTGTGGGCTGCGCCCACCACCCGAGTTTCCACCACCTGCTGAGATAAAGCTCCAAGGGTCGATGCGGGGGCGGATGGGAGATGGGCGGGGCCGAGGAATGACGCTGACCTCCAGGCGGCGTGTTTTGGGGCTCCAGAGCGCAGGGTTGGGGTGGAGAGCCTTGTCATCAAAGTCCTGTGTGTCTTGGCACAAAGGCAGGTCTAAAACTGAAAAGCACATAAAAGCAAAGAAAAACATTAACGAGGCACTGAAAGACAGTATCTGTCCGAAAAACACTGGAAACATTTTAAAACACTGTTTTTTGTCAAGTATATGTAAGGTGAATATAATGTAGTGGGGTGTGCAATTTCAACTGTTTGCAACTGGAGTACATTTTGACAAGGTGCTAAAAATTCCAAGTGCACAGCAAGCTGCTGGGCGACGATTCGTCGCTGAGCGCCTGACACTTTTTCAAGTCATTCAGAGTTCATAAGCAGTCAGTACAACACTGTGCTCATTACTGTCCCAGTGGACCCCAACCAACAACACACTTCCTTCACTGTTTGTACGAGTGCTGAACAACAAGTGAGCAGAAGTTAATGCTTGGAGGAACATTTTGTTCACTGTAGGTCTACCAGTTAAGAAACAATCAGTAGCAAGACCCACTTCAAGAAGGATTTTGACATTACCTCTGTGGATACTCAGTATCGTAGCAACCAGTGTCCCAACTGAAAAAATAATGTTGCAAATCTCTCTGAAAGCTCTGATTTTTCAGAAGAGATGGCAAAACTAAAAACCTTTTGGACCCCATTGGACAGAGGCCCTAACTTAAGATGACCCTGCTGACATCATGAGCGTTAGTGAATTGAGGAAGTTGCCATTTCCTCATGCGGAGCTGTACTCTCCTGAATGGCTTAACCTTTTCACAAATACACAATATCAGAAAAAGGCTTCATATTCAACATATTAAACATCTTCATCATTTTGTCTTCAACTGTCTTGGTAGAAAAGTTTAATTGTTAATCTGCAAATGACTCTCAGAGAACTACAGAACTGCCCCAGTGCGCTCTCAAACACTCCTCTCCAACCAAACTCTGCCAAACAGTGTGTGATGAAAGTGATCCAAGCAGTAATATGAAATCGGTACATTACTGTTCCAAGAAGAAATGGAACAATTACCAGCACAGAATGCTGATGCAATTAGTTTAAATTAAGTATAACATAGTACAATGTAGCTCTTTGACAAAGCAGCAACAATGGCAAGCAGAGAGTGTAAATTAGTACCGACAGAAACATTAAACTCAGTATAAATCAGTCTGAATGAACATTTGCTAGTTCCAAATGTGATGTGTCTGCCAAATGGCATTATTTACATCAACAGCAACTCTCCAAGGCTGCTAAGCTATTCAGCTGACAAGAAAAGAGCAATCAAGAGTCACATGAGAGCAGGAACAAAAGTAAAGAAAAAAGCAGAGGAAGGAATCCTCTGAATTTGTCTCTTTCACATGCAGTGTGTCTATGCATCTGAGCCTGAGTCATTACAGCCAATAAACATAATAAGATGTTTAGCTAAAACACTCGCTGTTTAATTATGTGTGGCTTTTTAGCCGGATATAACGGGCGCACATGTTTCGGGAGATCATGGCTGTTAGCAACGGAGCAGGCGAGGCTCGTCTGCTCAGTACCTGCGGGTAGAGCTGGGGAAAAAAACCTCTCTGTGGAGAATCCAAGGCTTTGTGACTCAATCGGACCATATATAGAGTGTGAAATGTTACCCAGGGGCACTCTTAAAGCCTTCCTGAAGCCCACTCGCTCACAGAACAACCAATGCTCATGCCTCCGTCATTACAGATCTGAAGTGTGTCAATGTGTTTCTAATGCATATTAGCCTTCGGAGGGATAAAACAAAACGTGACTATACTGTAAAATTAAAACGCTGATTAAACACAAAGAATTCATTTAAACACAAACCACGACACGTTTCATAATGAAGGATACTAATGCTAACTACCGGCACTACTGGCCAAGCCTGAGAAGCGATGCTGAACTTCAGCCAAATTCCCAATCTGCCCGAGCCAGTGAGGTCAAGAATAGATTAGTGGGAATTTTGAATGTGCTGCGACCTCAGCTGTGATGCCTCATGTTTCCCATTCATCTAAAGAAAACTGTCTGTCTTGGGCAACAAGAGAGGACTGGACGGTAGCTTTGCTTCGCAAGTATTAGCAGTGAAGGATGAAGGGCCAGCTGTTACCTGAGATATGCAAATAGGCAGAAGAAAAAGCTTTGATGTAAATGAAAAAGCTCATACAGCACTGAAGCCTCTGTTGTGGCAGAAAGATCTTGCTAAAGAAAAAATAAAAAGGCACAATAATTCTAAGGAACTGTGAGGGAACATTGTAATGCTGAGGCGGTACATTATTCAAGGCAAAGGCTGGATCAGAATTGCAGGGTGTCCTGTAGACACACTCTGAGGAATGCAGATGAATTATACAGCTAAATTAAAACAACAAACAAATTATTTTACCTATCTGGAGAAAACACTGCTTTAAAAACTGCACTTTTATCAAGCAAAAATATGTACAAGATGCAATTTGCTTCCTACATGACCCATAATGAAGCTTTAACGTAAGGTCAATATGGGAGTAATCACATAATGTGTTCGGCTACTTTTCTGTTTACATGTCTAACACTTTCCCACACTGTCCATCTGATTACTGACATCATTACTCGAGTCCGATCATCTTCTCGCCTGCCTTCTTAGAACCAATCAGCCTGGTTTAAATCTGTGCTCTTGGTCATCCTCCCTTTCAGACTGTCTCCTCCCCATCTCCACCTCAGAAACCTCGGCCAGAGCTCTGCTTAAGCCTCAGTCTTCATCTTCACCACCATCAGTGTCTAGACTCCGGGGGGTCCTGTCCTAAATCCTATCACTCCTGGGATTCTATTCTGCCATGATGGGTCATCGGAGTCTAATTGCCAAATAATTAATTTCTCTCTCCCAATAAATTACGTTCAGTTCTTCCAAGTTATCTCTTCTTATTGAAAAGCAACTTAAAGAAGACCAATTATGCTTTTCTGTATTTTCTGAATATGTATAACATTATGACTAGGGATGGGTACCGATTTCACGGTAGTAATCAGACCGAAAAGCATTATTTATGCTTTATTTCTGTGCTTTTTTTTTCCCTGAGATGTCATACACTTTGGATTCTAGCCAATCATTTTATCTTTCCGAGGATAGTAGGCGGGCCAAGGTACGTACGTTCTTTTAGAGCAGAGCTACAGATTAAAAATGTCCAAGGCGAAGCGATCAATCTTGCATCTTTGGCTGTACTTCACAGCAAAAGATGCAAACTCAGCAGCCTGCAACAAGTGCTTTAAGGTGATACTGTGCAAAGGAGGTAACTCCTCGAATCTGATGAAACACCTGGCGACGCATAGCGTTTCTTTAAAAGCCGAGAAATGCACCGCATTTGATAGCTTGCTGCAAGACCTCACACCGAGCGCATCTACTGCGGGTGTGTGGTGCCTGTTATCGGACCCGGAGTTTGCAACATCCCCCAAAAACCCGAAGAGGAGAGTCCTGGCCCCTAGCCCTGCCAGTGTAGCAGAAATGATGACGGATGATGATGCCAGCGACAGCCGTTCTTCTCTGGGTGAGTAGCTTAATGTTGTTCCTGTGTAATTTACGTTGAGTAGGCTAACCACGTTATTAAATTAATGCATGTAAGGTGAACTAGCAAACACCGTCGTAGTTACATGCGGCTGTCTTCTTGTTTGAGGGCAGATACTCCCTTCACCCTGGCAAAAAAGGCTAAAATGACCAAAGAAAAAGTGGAAAACAGCTAAACATGAGAGGTTTTTGGACAAAGTTTGTGTTTTCCATTGTTTAAGCACCGGTTCCAACCAAAGGAGGTATCTTGTATCAACAGAAAAGGCTAACTTGGTTATCATTTTGCAGGAAAAAAGAGACTGCTAAAAATAAAAACATAAGAGGTTTTTGGACAAAGTTTGTGTTCTCCATTCTTTAAGCACTGGTTCGAGCACAGTTTAAGCACCGGCACCGTTTCAAAAGTACCGGTTTGGCACCGATATCGGATAAAACCTAAACGATACCCATCCCTAATTATGACCAGTGACAGGTGAAGTGAATAACACGGATTATCTCTTCGTCATGGCAGCTGTTAGTGGGTTGGATATGTTAGAGAGCAAGTGAACATTCTGATTTCAAAGTTGATGTGTCAGAGACAGAAAAGTATGCAAGAGTAAGGATTTGAGCGAGTCTGACAAGCACCAAACTGTAATGGTTGGACGACTGAGTCAGAGCATCTTCCAGAACTGCAGCTCTTGTGGGCTGTTCTCAACCTGCGGTGGTCAGTGTCTATGAAAAGTGGTCCAAGGAAGGAACAGCGGTGAACCAGAGACTTGGTTACAAGCAGCCAAGGCTCACTGACACAGATGTGGTCCAATGCAACAGATGAGCTGCTGTAGCTCAGATTTCAGAAGAAGTTCATTGTAGATAGAAAGGTGTCAGAATACACAGAGCATCGCAGTTCTTTGCCAATTTTTGAAGCAAAAGGGGACTAATGCAATATTAGACAAGTGGTCCCTTTCTCACCGGCTACTCAAGCCTTTTGTTTTGAAGGCAAGCCAATCAGAAGAAAACAGATAAAAGCAAGGGGGGCTTAAAGGGAGAGGAGCTAAAAGACGGCATACGAAACAAGATAAATATAAATAACATTGATAAATATAATTATATATTAAGTGTCATAAGGACTGTTTTGATCTGTGAATCATACAGCTCTAGTCAAATCAAGAATGCACATAGCAGGTCTCCTTTAATCCAGTTTTTGCTTGTTCATTCTGTACTTTCTGTCTCACAGTAATAAAAAAAATCTTCTTTTTTTTAAACTTTATTTTCTGATGGGGTTGCCTGTGTAAAACAAACTCGGACCAACCTAGCTGAGAAGCATGCAGGCCTTGGCTGGACCTCCTCCTCCTGTCAGCTCTGTGTTCCCAGGAGTCACTGCTCAGCTCCCCGTTACTGGAACTGTAAGTGGGGGTCCACTCCCCTGGGCTGGTCCTGTCGTGCTGCATGGAGGCACTGCTGGGACTCTGCGGACTGTGTGGCGTCCGGTGGCTGCTCCTCTCGCGGGGGTTTGGTGGAGGCGGTGTCAGGGGTAAAGGCTTTAGTTCTTGGTATTGCAGCGCTAAATCCAACAGGGGTCTGGGGAGCGGCTCCGAGGTGGAGAAGGTGATGAGATCGTCCACTACTGGAGGGTCTGAAATGAGGGGCCTAGGATGAGAAATCTCAAGTTCAGAGAGGCTGCGGCCCTCTAAGCAAGGTGGGTGAGTTCGAGGTGGCACTCTTGGGGGAATATCCAGGCAGCGACCAAGTCCTATGGAGGCAAGCAGGGAGCCGCTGCCCAGCAGGGCTCGGTGGGTGCTGTTAATCAGGCCACCGAGAGGCCCCCTCTCAGGCCTTGGAGAGCTAGCTGGGGAAGAACTCCCTTCCTCACTGCCCGAGTCTCCTTGAGACAGAGGAAGCCACGGGCTATCCTTCACCGATGAGCCTGCGGAAAAAGAAAGGTTTTAAAAAGACACAAGGAGAGCCCAAAATAGAAGAAGAGGAATACTCAATGTATTTATAATTCATTTAGCTTCGATTCATAATTCACAGTCATGGCAGAGAGAATTAGAAAGGAGGCTAAGTGGAAGATAAGGTGGTAAAGCTGGTGGTGAAGGGCAGTGGATACCATTCTGAGCAGGCGTAGGGGTTGGCGTGACGGGTCGGTACTCCTCAAAGTCATCCTTGGAGTCTCCATTCTCATTGCTGTCTGCCTTCAGGAGCTTAGCTCTCATCGACAAGCTGAAAACAGGAAAGATTTCAACCTAAGCATGGTGATGGTTAAGCATATCAAATCCATACACACAGAAGGAATAAGCAATTCTGCCGTACCTGCTTTCCTGGGGACTAAGGCGCAGGACTTTAGGACTTTTGGGACTTTTGGGGCTCTGTGGCCTCCAATGAGGGCTCAACCTGAGGTCTCCGTTGACTTGTTTATGAGAAGAGGTATCCAGGGAGGGCCGGACTGGGCTGAGACCGAAAGTCCTGCTGTTGTCACTGGGTACTGCAGAGAAGAGGGGAGAGAATACAATCAGTACGAGCTCGTTTATTATCAGCTTAGTTGCGTTCTAATCGGGTGAGTACGATCATCTCTAACACAGTTGACTTTAGAGCTACAATTCATGAAACTTGAAATTGAATGAAAGTTTAAGCTCCAGCGGACTTTAAAACAGATCATGTGACCACAGCCTATACCACAATAACAGGCGAACAGTCACAGGGCAGAAAGTGTGAAAAAAGGTGCCAAAGTTATCTGGGGGGTGAGCTCCAATGCAAACTTCTGATTAAAGCTGGCACTGCACCTGCCAGACACTGGCGGCACACCAGCGGGCTCGTGCTGCTAACACAAAGTGTGTGAGCAGCGCGTGAACTTCCAGCCAGCCTGGGCTCTACTGTCACAACACCTCGCAACATATGGACTCCATCACACCCTTCCTAAGGCCTCGAGGATCCTTCTCAGCATGTCAACACCCAACAAGCCAGAAGAGCTATAAGTGGAATGGGCACCACAGTTACATACTGCACATGTCAAGGTGAAAACTTTGAAGCTGTCAGTTTATTCCATTGAGTTGTGGTTCTGTTTTTATCCCCAGTGTTTTGCGCTGCCATTTCATTTCAGCTTCAGAAATGGGAAAAGTAAATATGCTCTCTGATTGGACATGCTGTATTATGTCCTTTGGCCTGTACTGCGGCAGAGGCCTGGCTGATGCACTTTACCGCCCGTCACTCTCCAGCACTATGTTTTCAAAGCAAGCACAGGAGGCAGATGATAGTGCTGGCGTTACGATTTTATAAAGATCACACTGTGGCTCCCCATTCCCAGCCTTTTCCTCTCTGAACTCTTTTCCTTTTTCAGTGTGCCTCTATTAATATCAACATGCTTTCATAGAATATATTTTCTCATCATTTTGTAAAGCTCACAGGTTTTCTCCTCTGCCCCACGCTGATCAAATCTTTCTATTAACAGTGAAAAGAATTAAGAGAAATGCTTCTACTGTTGTTCGGACAGGAAATATATTTTGTTAACGTATTAAAAAAAATCCACACACTCCTCCACACTGATATATTTTTATTTAACAAACAAAAAGGCCAAAAAGGTATGCCTTCTATGGTTTTTGCACACATTTCTGCAGTGCTTCCAAAGGTCTACGGAGCCTAGATGTAAAAGTAAATGATACATTTCTTTCAACACAAGTTGGTGACATTGTGACACCGAGTTGATAACGGAATATTCAGAAATAGAGGTGGTTTTAGGTGTGAAAGTAAAATTGTGGACATCAGGAACTCATCAGAATAGTGAGCAGCTGCCTTTTAAAAGGACACATCTCTACATATGACCGAAAAGGCTCTTTGCCTTTTTCCAGCTTGGGAGGAAAACACAGGGAATGGCGATCGCAGAGGCAACGACGTCTGCCTCGGGTAGATGTTGGAAGATGAAAATGTTTTATTGTTACAGTATATTTAACCTTTGCTACGTTGCACATTTTAAATGCTTTGGGATTTTAAGAAGCTTCTGAAAGGCGTCAGTGTGATCCTGCCTGGATGCTAATGTAACAACAAACGTTAGCTGGTTACAGGCTACAGGGCTGCTGAAACACAGCCAACACAATCATCTTTATGCTTTTGCCTTATTAACCTGACTTCTATCAATGTTTTGATTTTGCGCAAACGACAGCGTGGCGGCGATTCCCACGCTCTGTAGCATTTAGATCATCAATTAAAAGTCCAAATTTAGCCTGCTGTACCTCAGGTACTGGAACTGGAAGAAGGAAAAGGACTAATAGAACCAAATCTAATCCTGCCCCCGCAGATAGAAAAAATAAATAAATAAATGATGACAGCAGTATCCATAAGCTGCCAACACACATGACGCAGCCAACCTACTGAGATGCTAAAAACACAAACTATTACAATCTCAGAGTTCAAAAACTCTCTAAAAATAAGAGGCAGTTTAATTTTCAACATATCTATTCAGTAAAAATATGGCACAGTGGAATCTAGCTCTGTGGACTAATGCAAATCAATTTGGCAGTTCTCTAGACAAATCAGTACGGGAGGCCCTTGCAATAAATCACTGCTTGCTACCGAGAGGGCAAGCATAAATATCCACTAAACACATTTTAATGACAGGCACACTCATGGCTTAGTGACTGCCATTAAGCAGAGTCATTAGGAAGTAAAGAAAACCAGCCCGCTACTTAATGAATAAATGAAGCTGGCAGATGTTTTAGATTGACTAACCACTTTATAGATAAATGTTTCACTGCAATTTGTGCTTTTATGTTAACCCGCGGTGGTAATTGTTTTGTGAAGTCTCTTTTATTGCCTGTTGCTACACCACAAAATTTCCTTTTGGGTTGTATTAAAACGCCCCGTGACCTGCTGGCTACAATTTCCCTCCGAAGGGAAAAATCTCGGGCGTTTGTCTAAGAAGCCGACAAGCAGGCGAGCAATGTAGATCTCTGCCGCTGCTGCAACCCTTTTCTCCTGGAGCAGTGAATTCCTCCCTGCTTATTTTTAATTCAGTAAACCGCACTGTAGCCACTACATGCATATAAAAACTGTAGACGCTTAAGTGCCTGGAAAACATAGCTGAATAGCTCCCCCCACTGCAGCACTGATGTAACTGCAATCAGCAGGGGAGCAGAGCAGGGCAGCGGCGGAAAAAAAAAAAAAAAGCTGCTGAGAAGTGCTGAGCTGCTGAAAGGAAGTCAGATAATATTTGGACTGGAACACACTATTGAAAAGGGAAAAGGGTGTGTGTGAGAGAGACAGAGCAGTGAGGGGGAGAGAGAGAAAGGGAGCTGGGGCCCACAGGGAAATGGGAAGACAAAAAGATGAGTGGGTGGTTGAGAGCACATAAAAGGAGTAAATTTGGAAATGGAGACGAGTAATGTCGCAACAGAGTCTGTGTGTGCATGCAAGATGGTGAGAGACGTTATTCTTTTGCTTTTCTCAGCGCGTTGAGAAACGCCTCCACATACACTCGATATATATGTACGTAAAAACGACTGCACTCACACTGGATAGCGCGGAACCGCGGTCCAAAGGAAGGTGAGGAGCCCGAACCCAAATCGGGAGAGTTCCGCCTTTTCTCCAGGCCTGGGGATGCCTGCACCGTAATTTTATGTATGAAATCTGAAAGACACACAACAGGATGTAAGACATTCATAAAGTCAAGAAATGTCAGCTGTTTTTGAGGTTGCAACATTGTTTTAGCTTCCTTATTTCTCTAAAGAAGCCAAGAGTTTGCTTTTGTAGAAATCGAGTGTTACACAAATTGTGATAGCAGTATTTCATTACATATCTATAAAACACAGGAACTGAAGCAGACTTTAGCTGTCACACCTTCCACAGCCGATTTGTGCACTAATATGAACCCCAATATAGCATTTCCCCCACGTTCTTTCAAATGCAATTGTATTTATCCTAGTACTCCTCATGTGTTCTTTGCAGTTATTACACTGTCATAATAATTCCAAGTGATAACACATCAATTTGAAGTTTTCAGCGTTGAACCAAGCCAACCAGCAATGAAAGGACTCGTGACCATAAAAACATTTGATCTAGATAAAAAATAAATAAAAAAGAAAAGGTCAAAAATGGCAAAGGCACAAGACTGTTGAAATAGTTTTTAAAGTGAAGGAACTATTCATCCCACTGCAACCCACAGCAAATCCCAAATTCCACAGCAAATAACTTCCAACCCTCTTGAACTGAGTCCTTTTCATTAGTTTTGTATAACAGCTTTTAATACACTTTGCAGTTTGTGGTGTGTGTAAAGCTTTGTTACTGATATGGTACAGTGCTTTGTTTGAGACTGCAATCACTGTTCTCACACTTTCTGAATTTTTCCCACTCACTAAGCAAGCTAATATTTGCAGTTTAAACGTTTCCATGGTTACGCCTCCGCCAATCAGGGGCATTGCTTTTTTGATTTAGGATTGTGGGTAGAGTAGTTTTTTTTCGAGAGAAAAAAAACAAGGTTGATATCGTAGAGACCTGTGGTTTTTACAGGGGCATATATGGTATCACAATCTCGCAGCTCACATCAAGTCTACTTTGGGTGCTGACAACATTACGGCTCATAATCAAAATCTCTCTGCAGAACACAAACAGGATTTTTATTTTTAAAATCTCACTGATGAGCTTTGATATAGGCAGATACATAATTGGAGGACTCACGAAAGACCTTACTCTTTCCATGTATCAAGCATTAAGGAAGCTACTAGTGGCAATGGCTGATAATGGCAGATAAACACCAACACTGCTAATACTGAACTACACAACCCATGTTGTGTTCTGATTAATTAAACACTGAAAACATCCATTTCCTATTTTCAGTACTTATTTTTATCCTTGAGTTTCTTAATTCAGTCCCTTTCATTTCTGGACTGTGCACTCAAATTGCTAAATATGTTCTCAAATTATCTAGATTTAAAAAGTGCTAATTAAAGTCCGTGTTTAACTACAACACTGATATTACTCAGAAAGGCCTGCAGGCCAATTAACACTATTCTATTCTACAGATAAACTGTAAAATTAATGAAAGACCTACATGTGGTGTCAGAAAGGAACTGCTACTGTTTGCTAAAGTTTGCTAGTGCATGTTGCTATGCTAATAGAGGTTAAACTAGCTAGCTAATTTAGCACATGAGGCAGCTAGCTTTAGCTAGTTAGCAAAAGTAGTGATTTTATGCAGAGTAACTGTTATGCAGTCGATAGACATGGAAGATAGGTGTATATGTTAAAAGCAGGACAAATTATTTACACTGTTACTATCCCAAAAATTTCACATTCATCTAAATTAATGCAAATCAGTCACCAATCTTGCTAGTGCTCAACTTGCTAAGGCAGCCTATCTGTTAAAAGGCCATATATGCAAAGCTTAACGAGTCTTCCTTAGTGAAGATTTTATGTTAAGATTTTATATTTCTGAAATGTTATGATTTAGATGTCTTACTTTTGTGTTTTAACACAGTTACAAAGTATCCCATGCTTTACTTTCTCAGATATTTTTGAATATGTGTGTATGTGGGGAAAAAATATCCCAAAAAGGACACATAAGTATGTTCCAGCTACTGAACCCCCTCCAAAAAACCCACAATATATATGTTACTGCAGGGTATAAAGTGCAAGTTTAATATAGGATGGAGAAAAAGACAATAATAATATTGGTGGGAAAAGGGGAAAAAAAGAGAAAGGGATTCAGGCACATACTGTAAGAAGGAAAATAAAACCAGTGGCCAGGGAGCTAAAGAGGAAAAGGAACAAGACAAAATGGGTGAGGAAGGTATGCTTAAAAAGAAAGAGGGAGAGAGAGGCACAGAGTGAGAGCAAGAAAGTGAGAGAGGCCAGCCAGCAGTCTGTCCATGGACAGGAAGTGTCGAGGCGTGGTTGGCTCACTCTCCCCTCTCATCAACCCCCCACCACTACCACCACATCACCGCCCTGCTGCTGCTGGGAAAGGCCTAACCACAACACACACATACACAGCGCGCATTTATGCATGCTTGCTCAGCCCAAAATACATGCTTTGAAACACTTGATGTGAACTGCTGCAGACTGTGTGACTTTGTGATAGCTCAGGACAAGAAACGGCAGTCAGGTGAGTAAGAGAAGAAAAAGAGGAGGGCAAAGTGAATCCTGGTCAGAGTAGATATCAGCAAGTCAGACCTGTGATCCACCTTTAAATTATTTATTTATTTTTAGATGGGGAGGGGAGCTGCTGAAAAAAAGATTTAAAAATGACAAAGTTTTTTATAATAGCGCAAAACTGCACCTGTCTGCAGCCTCTCTTTCAAAATGTCAATCTTTACATGAGTTCAGCCCTGATAGCAATTTTCCAAGGAGCCGTGCTACAAAAATACCAGTCGTGCCACAAAAACTCTCCCTCACTTCCTCCTCACTGCTCTCTTGCATGTGTTTTTTTGGACTGTTGTTATTTTTTGCTTGTTGAGACTGACCAAGAAATCGAGTCTGATCTCTGACAGAACAAATCAAAGGCAGATAAGATGGATAGACGGATATAAGCCGACGCACCTTGGGGCATGCTGATCTTCTCGCCGTTCTTGGACTTGAGTTTGTGCTTTTTGAAGGTGCCCTTCCTCTTCTTGACATTAGGTTTCTCCTGGTTCTGGTTCAAGTGGAGGATGAGGAGGCTGAGCTCACGCTCGAACACATCCTGCTCCCACTGGGCCAGCTGTTGCTCACGCTGCCGCAGGAACTCTTCGTGAGATTTCTGCTCCAGAGCTGCTCGCTTTAGCTCCTCTTCACGGCATCGCAGCTCCTGATGGAGGGCGAAAAGGCAAGTGAAAGAAAGTATTTAGAAGTGAATTAATATCAGCAGGTCTCGTGTGTGTGACTGAGGTTATGCAAATTTACAGTTTAATGAAACAAAATTCTGAGAAAATTGGTAGCAGTGAAAGCTATTATGATGCATGATGACTCACAGCTGCTCTTTGACATTTTATTTGATGGGTTTCTCCTCCTGGGATACTACACTAAACACTCTGTTAAATACTGTGCTGCTAAGAACACGGCTAGAGGGGCTCGGTGACCCCCAGGCCACAGAAACAAGGGAGAATAACAAAGACTGGCAAGACACCTCAGCTGCTGTGGCTCTTAGAGTTAGGGTGCTTTTCCAGAAACCCCTGAAACATACAATATTGTTGAGGACTTTGGTTGTCCTGAGCTGTGGGATCTGCTCAAGCAGAGGGGATGAAAAGCCCACCTATGAGGCTGTGCTTAAAAACCAAAAATCCCACTATAATCCTGTTGTCATAAACAACTGTAGGCCTGACAGCTCCACCCTTCAACATTCATTGTGGAGAATATCCACTATCTCTCCTCTGCACATTTCCAAACCATCTCAACGTGAGCTGTCCGTCTGATGTACTTCTTTCTAATCTTGTCCCTTCTGGTCATCAACATCTTGATCGTCAACATCTTCAACCAGCCACCTCCAGCTCTCGCTCCTGTCGTTTTGTCAGTGCCACTGTCCCCGAACCACACGCCACAGCGGGTCTCACTACCACGTTGTAAACCTTCTTTTTCACTCTTGCTGCCATCCCTTTGTCACAAATCACTGCTGACACTCGTCTCCACCCACTCCACCGTGCCTGCTCTCTCTTTTTCATCCCACTTTTGCAGTGTCCATTCCTTTGGCTGGTTGACTCCAAGTATTTCAACTCACTGAGTGAAGTAACAAACTTACGGCCCCCAAAAGACCAATTCGGAGCCAGAATAAATCTCCAGCTGATGGTGTGTTGAACCATAATAAATCAACGAAACACATTAAAAGAAAAAACTGCACAGAAATGTCAACATGAACATTAACCCGGATCATGTGGTTAATGAAACATGTTCAGTTAAATGTCAGGAGTGGGCTTTGTGGATGACTTCATTTTAATATCAGTACCATCAAGTTGTTATTATTTAAAATGACATTTTCTAAATCAGAAGCTAGCCCTGGCAAGGGCATGGCTTAGTGATTCAGAGTTGAGGGCCTCTTACCTTCTCTTTAGCCCGGAGTTCATCAAACATGTCCTGGATCTCCAGTTTCCAGTCCTCCTGCAAGGAGTGGAACGAATCCTGCGGCATCTCTTCCTTCACCTGCTGCTCCAAGGCCATCAGCTGGGCCAGGATGGAACTGAAATTGGGTCTGCGATGGGGGTCCTGGTCCCAGCACTCTGTCACACATACAGGGGATACAGTAAGTCACAGGGATGCAGTTGGTGCTACACCAAAGTGACGTGCATATGTAGCTGTCCAGAAGTAATGGACCAATCAGAAATACAGAGCGATTAGAAACGTTACAGTTGGGGGAAAAGATCAGAGGTTACTTTAACTGACAATAAGACGACAAATTTACTCATTTCTAGGACAGCTTCACATCTTTTGAGCATTTTCTTAAAATCAAGGGACCTGAAAGTCCCTCATTCATTAATTTTAATCCTCAGACAAAATGAAAAAAAAAAGAAGAAGAAGAATTTCATCATCCAACTGAATGCCGTCACCTGAGATTTAAAGACTTAAAATTAGGTCAGATAACTACATGAGGCGTATATCTTTGCACTTATTACATGTAATATTGAACAAGTAACCTGCAAAGCCTCTAACTTTTATTTACACATGTTTCAGGCACTTCGTGTGAGCACAATTTAGAGTCAAGCTGATCACTTATTCAAAGTGTCATGCTTAATTAACTTGCTGCGGGGAGTTTTGCATAATTTGCTTCTAAACTTTAGGCATTACAAGAAGATCAAAAACCAATCCGATAATTAATTAATCCTCTGAGGTGGCTACTGGTTGTTTTGTGCACTGATCCTGACTTAGGAAAAAACAAAAAAACGACAAAATGACATCAAGGGAAAGGGAATCCAAGTGTCTACTTTTCTGGACCAGCTGGTAGCTTGACAGCAAGCACCCAGGTGGCATTTCTTCTTACTTTAAAACCAAAAAACAGAAGATAAATGGGCACAAATGTATTGCATAAGATGGCTTCTGCATACAATGCTTCCTCTCAATGGCCACGTTACTGACAACATGCAGGGATTTGGGGAAATGGAAAAGAACACGTGCTCGGGAAAGCAACCTGATGTCACGCTAAAGTCCTGTCACACCACTGAATCGAACGCCAAAATTTCGTTACATTTCTGCAGGAGTGTACCACCTGACATGAGCTGCGCAAAAGGTTCGGGGCACGTGGAAGGGATGGGCAGGGTGAGCTTGTTGACGGCGACTCCATAGGCGACAGCGAGTCCATCGATCCCTCTGTAGGGTGCCTCTCCTGTTAGCAGCTCCCACAGCAGAACACCATAGCTGGAGGGGAAACAAGCCAGACAACGAGGCATGACACAGTGAGCTCGAGCCAAAATTAGACACAGGATGTTGGAACACTTCATTATGTTTACGCTGCATATACCACTTATATTTACATTTCTATGTGATATCAACCAAATTACCGTCGCATTTAAACAGCAAACAAAACCTCTAGGCTTGTGTGTTAGAAAGAAAATGATTTTTTTGAGAGGGAGGAGCATGTAAACGGTGTTGTGGATAAAGTGGTATAATTGAGCTATTTCGACCAGCGGTGGATAAAATCAACACACCTTCTGAGAAGACAAAATTATTTAAAGAATAATTGATTAAAATATGTTTCAGCTTCAAGAATTCAATACCAATTCAGTATACAATGACTTGCAAATCAGTGCATTCGGTTTTAATTCACGTCTCAGGAAAGAAGGTAAGATGATAACTTTTAAATCCGGGTCATCTTTCATTCCAATTCATGCTTTGTACAGCAAAGATTATCTTTTATACCTTCTCTATGACAGCGGTGACAGAGAACCAAGAGGTCTTTGTGCAGTGGAATATTTCTGCTTGATGAAACACGTGCTTACATAGCACTGTGAACTCATGCATGCAAAACTTGCGCAAACACAAGTACACAAAGACACACACACACACAGGACTTTTGAGCCCACACAATGGGATCAGCCCTGTGTCCTAAGAAGATGAAGTGTGGCGTAGGACTTGGATCTCCCACACTGTCAATTAGCCCTCGCCCGGACCTGACTGAACACACACTGGAGGCTCACTAAGTGGAGAGCGCAGGCCGCAGCCTTTTTTTATTTAGTTCTTTAATTACAACTTCCAGACACTGTGACTATGCAGAAACGCCGCTCGCCGGCTCGCCCCGAAGCGGTCGTCGTCTCCGCATGGTGGCTTTGGAGACGAGCGGCCGTGGACAGATGAGAAAGAATACAAAAACAAAGATTAGCCTTCATTTCTTCAGAGCGGGGCTGCCTGCCTGTTTGCTCGTTTCACCGGTTTCCAGATTCTGCAGTGAAATTTCACTTTGTGTGGGTTTGCAGTTGATGGACAAAGGCTATGGAAACTGCCTGCCTGCTGAGCTGGTTTCATATAGGATCTGTATGTAAAAGTTCACATCTATAGGATTACAATTAAACCACAGCACATTAGAGTTATCATGCTTTTTTTCCTTTATAGTTTTATCTGTTGCTCAGTGAAAACATCCCTGCTGCCTTATTCCAAATGCAAATTCATGTACTGTGCACCTCAATCACAAATCCCCTCTCAACAAATCACACAGTTGTTTAAGGCATTATTATAAAACCACAAGTCATAATCAAGGGACTCTGTGTAGATGTGGCCAGACACACACACACACACACGCACACACACACACACACACACACACAAAGCTATTCCCAGATAAAGGGCTGCGGTTAGGTCGGGTGTGTGGCCTCCTTCTCCGTCTATACTGGAGACAATGGGACAGTGTGCAGCACACATGTCCCACAACAAAGCACAGAGCAGCTTTTTGAAGAGACGCCATCACATGGTCGTGGCAGCCTTGCTGCAATCCATCACTCTGTCCCTCCATCTCTTCATCACAGAGTCTCCCACTATCACTTCTCTGTTCTTTCACCCTCTAATTCTAACCCATCACTTTGTCCTTTGGACGACAAGTCTACATACACACAAAGCTTCAAAAGACCAATTTCAAATTCTTCAACAACACCAACAGAAAACACGGACATATATGAGCTCCTTCAGTAAAGTCACCTTGCCGATGATTAAACTGCTAACAATTTTAAGGATTTTGAGATATCTCAAGTATCCTGATACCTCCCTTTCCTTTTACCAGTAAATGTCTTGCTGAAGCTTGCTTGAAGATTCATTAGCTAAGCTTGGCATGAAGGCTGTAAAAGCGGAAACGGCTAGCCTGGAACAATGCCAATTAATTAACAATAAGCTTTAGCCATGGTGGTGGGTGGATGTTATAAACTTTCCACAAAGCAAGGCTGGGCGCTTCCCTATCCTGTTCTCCTTTATTGCTAAGGTAGGCTAATAGCCTTCAGACCTTCCTTTATATATACATATATATGAGTGAGAGTGGTTTCCCCTAGACTGGGTGCTTTGGGAGGATGGGTGTTACTCTTCACCTTTAGTTTTAGACAAAACAACACTTGTCAAGAAGCTTTTCTTGCACTTTAAGTTGGCCAACAAGTTGTAGGAGTCATCAACTCCAGTAACACCATCCTCTCCTCAGCTACTCCCTTCCCTGATGTGCTCCTCCCTGCCCTCTCACTGTTTCGCGCAGGGAAACTAGAGAAACAAGCCTGACAATGACTGATTGCAAAATGCAGAAGAGACTGTGACACTGTATGAAAAAGGTGAACTTTTTGTAGTAAATGAATCACTTTTTAATTTTTTGTGTTGTGTGAGTAGGCTGGATGGCGAAGGCAGTGGCGGCAGACAATCTTTTGTTAATTTAATGTCTGCAGGAAAGGAAAGAATCATATTTGCTCAAATGTAAAACTATTCTTGTAAGGTGTTGAGAATTACATCATCTCTTTTCCCAGGCCACAACAGTCCTTTAATAACAAACCGTTTATAAGGACACACATTCACAGACTTACCTCCAGACATCACTGCCTTTGGAGAACGTGGAGGACTTGATGACTTCCGGGGCCATCCAGGCATAGGTGCCAGCGGTGCTCATCTTTGTGGTCTTGTGCCATTCTCTTGCCAGGCCAAAGTCTGTAATCTTCAACGTCAACCCCTCCATACATTCATTTTCTATGGGCTCAGCCAGAAGAACTTCAGGAAGACGATGTAGATAGTAGGTAGAAAGGAAAGGGTGGGGGGTGGGGGGGAGACAAATTAATAAAAATGTTTACTATGCAAGTCAAGAAATGTGTTTTGGTTAAAAGTCATTGAAATGCATCGCTGCAGAGATGCACTTGTCTTGCTAGTAGCAGGGGAAAAAAAAATAAACGTCACACTAAACTGAGCAATGTCTTCAATACGCACATTCACACATTGTCAGTTTCTTTTTCACTTCCTCTTCCTCTTATTTTAGGCCTCTAAAATTCAAGTCGACAAACACAAGTTGCTTCAATTTGACCAATCGATGGAACTACATAAACCTCTGCCTAGTTAGACTGGCAGTGGTAGGTGATTGGCAGCGTACACAATACGCTATATAGTACGTTAGCACGTCAAGCTGACCTGTGCACGATTGGGAGCTGGGCCAGACTCTGTCTCCACCCTCAGCTGAACTGAGCTGTGCTGTCAGTGAACTGGCTCGACATGTTGGCCACATGAGGAAATATATAGAGGAAGCACCATTTCTAAAACAAATGTGTTCGGTGACTCCAATAAAGAAGTATTTCTTTTAGGAGCTATTATGATACCCAAATTAAAAGTCTTCCAGCCTTTCTGTTTTTAATCATCCCCCCCATTAAATTTTTTATCCTCAAACTAGCCTGTTAGCAAAATCACCACCGCATTTCTTAAGCTAGCTCAATAACTATTCTCAAATTTAGCCAGCTAGCTCCTGTTAGCTAAAGGAGCAGCAATTATATAGTATATAGACTGTTTTAATAACAGATAATGATATACACTTTAAACAATATCAAACCTCTTTAACTGTTAAACCTCGGGCAACTACTAAATGGGTTATCACACAGCCAAATACATTAAAAATACAAAATTGTTCTGTATAACCAGCTAACGTTAGCTACAGCCACTTCACTTTGATACTTAACTAATAAAAATGTTACCTATAGAAATAATTATTGGCTTATTTTATATTTACTGCATTTTATGCAGCTTCTTATTGCCAAATTCAGAATGACTTACATTTTCTGAAATCACTCACTACTCACTGTATAGAGGGCCTGGATGCATGGTTAATATTGCGATACCCTGTTGGAATCACTTATCCCACAGAGACTTCTGAAAATAATAATTTATAAATGAGCAAGGCCTTAATAGTTGCAGTAAAATGTATTTTCAATTCAATTCAAACACCCATTTCTTTTATGCTGGTGCTTTTGCCTGATGTGGATCAGTTTTAAAAGGTGCAGAAAGAAATGATAAAAAATATCTCCTTCAGCCTATTAGATGAAGGGCGGCATTTAAAAATGCCATCACAAGATATTTATTTGCACAAACTCAACAACTCAAACTCAAAAAAGAAACATCTTTCATCTTGCTGCCCTTACACACAGAAGAGCATTACAAGAGCTCACAGTGTGCACCCATCTCAACTGCACAAACAAAAAAATATTACTGCAATATTGCAAGTAAAGCTTATTCCTGTATTCTATTTTCATTAGTGACACTCATTTTTCCAGCATCTTATCTGGCGCCTGCAGACCGCCATCTGACTGCTGAGCTACAAGTATGTTCAAAGCAAGCAGAACCCACAGCTATAAGTCTAAACAGAGTCTAACAAAGTTTAAAAGATGTAATCTTGTGTTTTTCCTTACTGGCTACATATAGCATTACAGTGTTCATATTAAAGAGAGCCAAAGTAGATTATTAAACGTTTTAGAATTTAAATAATACTCAGACGTAGGACCTGTTCCGATATTTCGTGCTTTAAAAATATGATCTTTTTTTCCCCCCATTTCAGACACACAAAAAATAAACAGATTTCCCTGACATTTATCATGTGTAGTTATTTATTTACTCATTTATGCTGTGCCCAACTCTGGTCAGATGATTGCTGTGTTTCCAAACACGAGTGCAACCAACAGGGAAGTGGCAACGTGCCCTCTGTTAGGAAAACTGAGCAACATTAATGCTCATAATTTAAGCGGTTTACTTTTTTAATTTTTGCTTTTCAACTGTTGCAAATGCTGATACTGATAGTTCGGAAAAAGCTAATAGCAGCCGATAATATCAGACTGTCAGTAATGTCGGCGCGCTGATAAATTTCTCGGCTCTATTAAAAAATATCTTATCTTTGATTTGGTCAGTTGTAATTTGATACAACAGAGGAAGCTTCCAGTGGGTTCCTGTTTTTGTCCTCTCAAGTAAATTAGGTAATACACTTTCCTGTCAATCCAACATTGATTTATTTAATATAAGGCAGCACTACTGTTCCTTATTGCATTTATCATAGTTCTGTTCATATAGCCTGTTTATATTGCGTCTACATACATATCGGCTGACATATCAAAATATCGGAGCATTGGTGTTAAAGGTTCTGGGCGATGTGGGGAATTTCTGTACATGGGTTTTAGGTATTTTCATAATGATGCTAAGGTGTAAGGTTAAAATCTAAAATACTTAATTATTATTAGAAAATGGTAAAATGTATATGCTTATTTATTAAAGTATGTGTTGGATATAGATGGTGGAATTGAGGTAAACTCACCTGTGAGTAAATAATGGTTTAGTCCTATAATAGCTGAGAGTATTTAAGGCTGCCATTTGTCATTAGACACCGATTTGTGCTGCTGCTTGAAGGCTTGACCTGGCATTCATTATCCACGGAGTTATATTATATGTGGACAAATAAACACCTCTTGTTTCCAAAGTACTCTGCCTCAGCCTTCATCTCCAGCCACAAAAGGCCACTTTGTTACAATCGGTATTTGTACAGAACCTAAAAACACCCATTTCACTGGGCTCTAATTTTTAAAGCCTAAAATGTCCAGTGAATTGCTTCAATGACACTTTGTTTGATAAATTATCTGAAACTTTGGCTTTCTTTAATATGAACATAATGTAATGGTCTAAAGGTCTTTTAGTTCTCTGTTTCACATAAGTTCCTTTTTTTACTTTAGATTTATGCACACCTGACAATGTTGGTAAAAAAACTGTCCTTATTGTTAATGCCTGTGTGCTTACAATGACTAGTGTATGTGTGCATATATTAGAGCAGGGCGATATGACCATAAATATTTATCATGATATACATTTGAAAATTTGCGATAACGATAACTGACGATATAATTGACACTAGACAAAATACTTTAGTACTCCTCAACTTTATTGGTGCAAAAAAAACAAAAAACAAACATAAATGTATTTTCACTTAAACGAGCAGCTGTTTTTTTTATGTGCATTAAAGTTATATAAAACTTTAACAGTGCAAATGCAAATTCCTTGCTGACAGTTTAA